ATATTTATTTGGAACTGTTGAGATTCTGTGGAATGTGGGCCACGCTGCTCTTCTGCGTCTGCTCAATTGGCCGTCGTTGCTTTCCGTAAAACTGAGCAGATGTTCCAAATAAATATGATGAGTGGTCTCTTCGATTATTTCACCTTCAATGCGTATTCTTGCTTATTCTTGCTACTGGGATGAACTGATTGCGCATTCATTTTGTCTCGAATAAAGTCGAGACCCTTCCTTTTGGGATTGTTTGTATGTAGATAGGCTTACTCTGGAGTTCGGTCGCATCATGCGCAAGGGGATCACGAACGCAGCCGCAGCTGCCAAGATGTCGAACTTCAGGTAGACTGGGCACGTCATGCATTTCGAAGGCGACCGCTATACCAGATTACTGATTGGATTCCAAATGAACACCTGGATGACCGTCACTGCAATGGTCAGGCTTCTTTGTGAAAGCTCTTAGCGAATGATGTGATGATGTTCAGAGCTTCGGCGCTGTAAGCCGAACCAGTAAAATCGCTTTCCAGGAGGTTTGGTTATGGGTATATTATCATTGAAGGCTTATTTGACTCGTAGCGTCGCGAGTTCTTGACTTCTAAAATTGGTACGATGTTCTAGAGCGCTGAAAGCATGTACGTGGGAATCACCGTAGTTGAATGGAGGAGATTGCAAGGTCACTCGTAATGTATAGCAGAGCGCTTTCCATTCTGGAACGCCATCACTCGCGAGTTTTTACAGTAATAAGAGAATAAACCCCAATGTCGCTCCCTCACAACATCAGATCCAGTTTTATGGACAAATGGTAGCTTGCCGCAGCTCAGTACTACCGCATGTGAGTCACTTTTTAGCTTAAACCAAACATAAGTTGTAGTTTCTCTTTCAAAAAGGCTCATCCAGTAAAATTATAGATCAACTCAAAGATCGTTACATCTGAGTTTTTTCTAAGGTATTCGTCCAATGCGCCACCATCAATGAACTCCATAACAATCATCGCACTGTTGTCGCCCTTGTTCTGTACTACACCATAAAATCTAACCACATTTCTGCAAAAAAGGAGTTGAACTGCACATAAAGAAGTTTCACCATCATTTAGATGGTAAGATTGCTAAGATGTTCTCTGTTGTGGCATGGAAGGAGACGATGACTTCTAATTAGTTATCAGCGCTTACAGAGTTAAAAGTTGGGCAACGTATTGAGTTACCAGGAATGAATGTTCGGCGGTCAATGTCCTGGGAGTAACCTTCACCATCTGTGAGTTGGCAGCAATTGTAGGCTGACCCTTACGACAACTTCCAATCTCAGTTATTGTGAAACATCTCCATAGTGGTCTTGTTGTTCTTTCTTATAGGAAAGAATTTCCGTCGAAAACACATGGTGAATGGTTCTTGAACTGCGCTCGTTACGCGAGTCATGCACGTAACCCTCACAGGATCCCTTGAGATGGAAAGCGACTTGTAGAACTCGAAGCAGATCTGCACGAAAGAAGAGTTCCCTATTGCTCCTTATCCAGCTCGGAAGGGATACTGCTGGATTTCGGTG